AATGCTCCGCGATCATCAGGCAGAGGCGGCGGGCTAGCTATCATTGCTAAAGTTTCTTTCAGACCTCGATGCCATCTGTTATTTTCCGCCACCTTCACAAGTTTTGAAGCTCAGGTTTTACTTCTGAACTGGTCTGAACCTGTGGTCTTAGCTCTGATCTATCGGCCACCACATCTTATCAAAGATTTCATAGCAGAGTTTTCAGAGTTTGTAGGGGATTTGATAACTAAACACGATCGCATCCTTATTTTAGGTGACTTTAATGTCCATGTATGTTGCCCCTCTAAGCAGATAACTTCTGAGTTTTTAAACATCATTGACTCTTTTAACCTGCTGCAGTGGGTTAATCATCCTACACATACTCATGGACACATTTTGGACCTAATATTGTCACATGGTCTATCTATAACTGATGTTGAAGTCGATGGAGGGAGGAACCATCGTGGAAGAAGGGCTGATGACTCTAGGGGTCCAACTGACGGTGACGGAGCCGATGGACGAGGAGCCCAGGATGGAGCCGAGCAGACGGAGAGCCAGGGCGACACTGAGGATCCGGAGCGCCAAGGCGGAGTTGGTGGCTCAGGCGACCGAGGCGGAGACAGGGATCTGAAAGGCCACGGCGGAGCCGGAGCGACTGAGGATGAAGGCGGAGCCGAAGGGAAGGAGGAGCCTGACAGAGCCGGAGTGACAAGGTGAAGCCAGAGGAGTGGAGTCCCGAGGCGGCGGTTGGTCAACGACTGACCAAGGCGGAGCCAGAGGGTCGAGGGAGCCCGGTGGAGCCAGTGGGATGATGGGCCACGGTGGAGATGAGGGAGCTAGGAGACAAGGCGGAGCCGATGGGTCGAAGGACCGAGGTGGAGTCCATGACTCTGAGACTGGAGGCGGAGACAGGGGATCCTCACGCCTAGGTGGAGCTGGAGACTGGAAGTCCCGAGGCGGATCAGAGTGGCCAGATGGCGCTGACTGAGGGTGAGCTGAGGGGCTGACAGGCACCAGCGGATATAGAGATGCAATTGGATGGGCGCCTGTGTACGTGGCGAGCCATCTACTGCTCTCAGCTCTGTTTATTGCTTGGTTGTTTTTAAGTGCCCTCCTGTCCAACAACTATGCTGAGTCTCTCACGTATGATCGTCACGAGCTGTCTACTGCTCTCAGCTCTGTTTATTGCTTGGTTGTTTTTATGTGCCCTCCTGTCCAACAACTATGCTGAGTGTCTCACGTTTGATCATCAGACTCTCCGGCTCCGCCGCGGCCTTTCAGATCCCTGTTTCCTGAAGTCGTTGATTCTGTTATCTCTGATCCTATTTTACTTAAATTGTCCCTCCCACTGCCTTTTCTTACACCTGCCTCTGATAGTACGCAAGCCCGTGAATATTTGCCTCATTTTTGTGAGGATTTTGTCAAGCTCTATAATGAGGTCAACCCTCTTTTATTATTAGAGTCTCTATTATCTGATCTTGATGCTGAAAATTATTTTATCATTTTAAATACTGCATGGACAGATATTTTAAACCTTACAGCTCCTTTTAAGCTCTTTAAGCCAAAATCTACATCTAAATCGGAGCCATGAGTTGATCATAGTATTCATTCCTTGAGACAGGCATGCAGGAAAGCAGAAAGGAAGTGGAAAAAAGACAAATTACAGATTTCTTATGAGATCTTAAAGTATTGCCTATTGTCATATCAGAATGCTGTTAAGAAAGCCAAGGCTTCCTATTTTTTTCTAATCTAATTGAGAAACATCACCACACCCCAAAAGCTCTTTTTTTTCTGTTATCAACTCCGTTCTAAACCCCCCTGTAAATTCTCTTCACTACCCGTCTTTGGCACTTTGTGAGGATTTCTCTAGTTATTTTGGCAATAAAGCTTCAAGTTTGAGGGCCCAGTTTCTGGTCTCCGATCAGGAAATACCTACAGAGATGACTTCACCTGTCCTGTGGGCTTCCTTCAATCCTGTCTCCCTACATTCTATAAAGGAAGTAATGCTTAAACTTAAACCCTCCTTTAGTTCGCATGACACTATACATCCTTACTATTTGAGACAAATATTTGACACTGTCGGCCCTGGGCTGGTGTCGCTATTTAACAAATCTTTGCTTGAAGGAGCTGTACCTTACAGTTTGAAAATTTCCACGGTTACACCTGTACTTAAGAAACCCTCACTTGATGCCTCTATTTCATCAAAATAGAGGCATCAAGTGAACCAAAATAGCCATTTATTTCCAAGATATTGGAAAAAATTGTGTTTTTACAGCTCCAGACCTTCCTGACTGACAATCATATTCTTGAAGTTTCAGTCTGGGTTTACATCACTGCACAGCACAGAAAACCGCTCTTGTAAGAGTTCTTAATGATATTTATATGGCAACAGATTCGGGGTACTCTGTCGTTTTAGTAATGTTAGACCTGTCCTCTGCTTTTGATACTGTCGATCATGCAATCCATATCTCTCGGCTGGAGTGTTGCGTTGGGCTGGGGGGGCTGTTTTAAGTTGGTTTAAATCTTTTCTAACCAATAGACATTTCTCTGTAAAAATAAGGACATTTCTCTTCTTCTCTTCGCAATCTATCCTGTGGTGTGCCTCAAGGCTCTATTTTAGCTCCTGTCCTTTTCTCTCACTATCTTCTCCCTTTGGGTTCCATTTTTAGGAAATATAATGTCTCATTTCATTGCTATGCCGATGATATGCAAATTTATATGCCTGTGTCTAGGAACTTAGCAGCATTTCTTGAGGATGTGAATGCTTGGCTTGGCAAAGTCATTGTTTTTGACCCCTCAGAATTCAGGCAAAGAAATCACCTTGACCTTGAATCTTTAAATCAATTCATCTCTCCCCAAGTACGGAATCTAGGTGTGATGGTAGATAGTTGCCTCAAATTTGGCAAGCAGATTAGCGCGGTCATTGGGTCCAGCTTTTTCTTTCTTCGTTCTCTATCGGAAATCAAATCCTTTCTTCCTAAGAGCTCCTTGGAGATTGCTATCCGTGCTCTTATTACCACTCACCTGGATTATTGCAATTCCCTCTATTTTGGCATATCTAAGTCCCAAACGGCACGTTTACAGGTCGGTTAAAATGCTGCAGCGAGATTTCTGAAGGGAAAGAGGAAATTTGATGACGCTACCCCCCTTCTGAGATCCCTTCACTGGCTTCCGATTAATTTTAGAATTGAGTTTAAATCAAAAGTCTTTAAATTAAGTCAAAAGAACAAAAGACACAAGATCAGGAACACAAACAACAGTCCAGAACCGTGACAGTGTGTGTGTGTATGTATATTATATATATATATATATATATATATATATATATATATATCAGTAGGTCGTCAGTAGGTCACGCATGCACTGATAGCACTGAAGTAAACATTCTCTCCAAATAACCTGCTCCAGAGTAGGTTATGTTTCAGGGTTAAAGTTGCTATGGCTACTTACATACACTGAAAGTTACCTCCGTTTTTGGAACCGAGAGCTGAGTTTATCCTCTTACTTACCCTTGAACATACCCAGGTATTTCACATAACCTGCTTTCTGGGATTACACAAGATTTGTATTTTAAAGAGAACCAGTTCGAAGGAAGAATAATTTGCTTTTTGCGTTAAAATAATTTCTTAATATGAAATTCGAATGGTATTAAAATTAGAGATTAGACTGTCCAAAAATTGAAATCTACACGCTAATACACACTATATACACATAGACACGCAATGCTGTTGTTGTTAACATTAACAATTTGAGAACAAAGTATAACAATAATAATAATTTGCATGGTTTGTGATATGAGCTAACCGATCGTTAGATTTAATCACCATTGGTAGCGCGATTTATTGTAATGCTTTTTTTCCTCCCTTGGTCAGAACAAATGTGGCAGACTTGTTACTTGGTCAGATGACAATATCCAGTGAAAGTTCTTATTTGGGTCATATATTCCAAGACGTAGGCTAGAATCTTGACAATATCTGGTGAAAATTCTTATTTGGGTCATATATTCCAAGACGTAGGCTAGAATCTGTGATTCCTAAGTACAGTATCCACACCGCGGTGACTGACAGCCACACTCCTCAAAATATTAGATTCATCCGCGCTGGAGCTAGGCCTGTCGCAATAATCAATATATCGACTTATCACACAATATATGTACATGACCTCAATCATTTTTGGTGACTCAATATATCGCCCATTATATTTACTTAAAAATTAATATCACAATTTTTTGTACATTCCACTTGCGCCTGTGTCTTTTGCAGCTTCTCATACATAACGTGGTGTAGTCATGAGGTGCTAGTTCAAATTTAAAAAATGAAGATATGGTGTTGTTTAGGGATCTGTGCCTTTGTGCATACAGACATCTGACTGCTAAGTAGTGATTTTGTTTTTCAGCAATAGTGTGCACCCTTAATTTACAGAGAAAAGAAGGTCAGGGAAAAATCTCCGTACAAGTTCTTTGTGCAATTTTCTTATTTTCTTCTTGTTACTTTGCATTTTTTTTAATGTTTTATTTACTATTTATTCAGGTTTTTTAAGGTATCTAATATTTAGATACTTAATTTCCATGATCTAAATATTCTTAAAAATTAAAAGTTTGTTGACATTTGGAAGTGTGTATGCCTTCTTGCATTATTATGCTATTACATTATGATTATATATTCAGTGGCATAAAATAGTCTTTAAAATGACAACAATATCGCTTATCGCAATTATTTCTGGCGCAATATATCGCACAACAACAAGTTGTTATCATGACAGGCCTAGCTGGAGCCGTGACAGCACACAACCCACACAATGAAGATAATTGTGCACATACCTGCAATTGCAGGTTTTCAAACAGAGATGGCGACAAAGAGGCAAAACTTACAGGCTGCAGCTTTAAAGTTAAACTCTGCTCAACTTTTTAAAACTTTAATATGTCAATTACATTAACGTGCTTAATTTAATGTGCTTAGTTGCCACAACTATCCATGCATGAGTGGTGCAGGAAAAAAAAAAATCCTGTCTTCCAGACAATCTCAATTTTAATGTATACCTCTTAGATATACCAGAGGCAAATTGATGAGAAGAAGACTTGGCTTGAGGCTCGTGATTTCTGTCAAGTCATTGGAGGTGACTTGGCAAGCTTCCACTCTCAACGAGAAATCAACAAGTTACCGTGAGTGCTCACAAGAAGTTTTGTACTGATACAATTCTGTATTATTATTTGTTTTACAACATTATGATTTTATAGGGTACACCAAGGAACTCCATAATGGTGGGAAACATGTCTTTATTCTGCAGGTATATAATTGGAGACCCAGCATGGATAGGTTTCAGTATGCTGAATAGTAATTCTGGTTTTGTGTGGACTGATGGAACCCCGGTGAGTGTTTTCCCATTACTGTTCATATTTTTTTACCCCCATTTGTGTCACTTTGAGGTAAAATTCATGATGTACCTGTTGAGGTGTAAAAGTATAAAAATACTTCCATTCCATCAAAAATTTTAAACAAGGGAAGGAGGGGCCTATAAGGCCATAATGGTCATTGTAGCAAAATAACCCAGGACAGGGTGATCTGCATCAATATTTGAGTGTGTGTGTGAAAATTATTGGTTAACTGTAGATTATCCTGCTTAATACATGGCAACTCACCCAATAATTATAAATGAGAACATCAGATATTGATTTGAGTTGGAATTATTTTAGAACCTTTCTTATCTTAAAGCTTCTGGGCCCTCATTTATCAACAGTGCGTACGCACAGATGTGTGCGTAATGTGTGCCTAAGCGCAGTTTCATGCAAAGTGTTTGATCTACCAACTTGTACTTATATGTAGGAATGTATGTAAATATAAGGACAAAATATAGAACCTTTTTTACGCACTGTTGATAAATGAGGCCCCTGGAATGAAAATAATTGTCTACTACATCATTCTAACCCACACCGTTTTGCATTACGTTCTATGTGTGAATGTGTGTTTTATTTCCTTTTAGTCTGATTTTGAGAACTGGGGGTTTGGAGAACCAAACAACTACAACGATCAAGAGCACTGTGCAGAAAGTGGCCTTTATTATGGACACAAGTGGAATGATTGTGATTGTGAATCCTATAATAACTGGATTTGCCAGATACCAATAGGTACACATGCATGGATAGAATTGTGAATTAAGTATTGGGGTGTAAATGCAAACTAATGACTACAAATGCAAACCTAACACTTGTTCTATGAAATGTGTTGATTTGTTTCTTTGTTCTTTTTGTGTTTCTTCCTTTTCCTTATTCTTCAAAGAACTTGCTTTGTTCTTGCAATGGCCACATATTGTTGTAGTAGTATTTATTTATTTTTTTAGATCATTTTCATATCATTTTCATATCTTTCATATCTTCTATATGATTTTAAATGTTCATTTTGTGTTCATTTATTAGAAATAAAAACAGTGAGTGGTCATTAATTTAAATTTATTAATTAATTAATTTTCTTTTTGAGAGAAAATGCTAAAATATTGAGACACATTGAGTATTTTCACAGGCAAAAAAATAAATAAAAAATAAATGTTCTGTTGTCAACTATTAATTAAACAATGTATGTATGAAGCACAGCTCACATAGAATTGATTTATATTTTATATTCTGACATAACTAGATCCATACAACATGCACATGCAACAACTTTACCATGCACATTAACAAATGCCCGCACAATAACTTTAATTAATTAGGCAGTTAGTTAATTTGTTAGTTATTTTTTCTTTTTTTTTCCTTCCCCCAATAGGCAGAACTCCAAAACCTCCACCAACTACTGGAACACAGGGTAAGGAGTCATTCGCTGCATATTCATTATTCAATTTCAATGTTCCTTACATTAACTTCATTACATTAATGTTCTTTTTTTGGAACATGTACTGTTTTCCATTGTCCTAACAAGAAGAAAATCCAAATGATCATATGATAAAATATTTGTGATAAAATAATGTGACCCTGCTGCCAGTGGACACACCTTAATAGACTTTTCATGGGCATTTAATAATTTTTTATTTTTTAATTTGTTATCTCTCTCTCTCTCTCTCTCTCTCTCTTTACCTGTAAAAGAAAACCTGCTTAATAATTACGCAGATCTTAGTATAAGATGTTATTCACTTCCAGTTTTTGTTAACAATTACATATCATTTATTGTAGTATATAATTTATAAATTATATAAATTATATACTATAATAATTATATATATATAATTATATATATATATATATATATAATTATATATATATAATTATTATAGTATATAATTTATATAATTTATAAATTATATAAATTATATACTATAATAATTATATATATATAATTATATATATATATGTATATATATTAGCCTTACATATGTATTAGCCTATATATATATGTTTCAATTTTGATGTGTCTAGTTTGAGAGGGAATTCCGGATGTCATTCTTGAAACTTTGCAGAATGTGTCTTTTTTGTTTTTGTTTTTTTCTTCCTTCTGTGAATGGATTAAATATAATTAAATATAAGCCAAGAAAGCTCCCTTTATAATCACTAAAAAGCTGTTACTCACTTCAGTTCGTCGAGATCTCATAAAGTTCATTTATAATAAACAATTTTCTTATTTACATCACTTCTTACACTTTTTTTCTGTTGTTGTTGTTGTTATAATGAGAGGATTCGCAAGCTTGCATAACTCAGAACAATGTTTTGTGAGTAAATTCCGTCTAATTTAAAAACCTCTGATTGGCCATTGCATTCAATAAATCAAAAGGTATGTCTGTGATTGGCAATATATTTTTACAGCTTCTAGTGTGCAAGCATAAAATGGAATCTCAATCAGTGCCACCTATCGCACATCTGAGCTGCTGAAGATGCAGATGATTAACATTACTTTCGTTTTTAAAGGGAATGCGCCGATCCCCGATCTGCCTAAATGCGTTTATGTTCGCGCAAATCATTCGTGATCCAGCTTCATCTACAGAAGAAGTGAGTATAAGCAGGGATTAAATTGGGCCGGAGCTGAGCCCAGGCACATAGACTGCAGGGCTCTACATTAACGCTTCATTAAGGCCAGACAGATTAAAACATCAGTAACCAAAAATAACTATGTAAACACCAGAACGCAAGTATTATTCTGATTTTATTACATTTAGAGTAAGTGGCGAATAGTGGATATAGCTAAGGTATATAATGCATCTATTGATGGAATAAGGTTGTGCTGCTGAGGCGAGGCTCAAGCAGCCTCTCCAGGAGAAATCAAAACGCGCAACACTAAGAAACTCAGCATCCTGAGTTAAAAATTCAAAATGGAAAGTTTTTATATTTAAAATACAGTTAGTTAGGCAACATCACACAACGTTTTCAACATTACGACTGTTTAACAGTTCTATAAACAGTTCAATAAGCAAATACAATAATATTTGGTCACTTTTTAGGTGGAAACACAGCGCATCACACAGCTACCAGCCGATTCATTGCTGATTGATTCCGTGTTTTGAACAAATCAGTTTAGTCAAAGTTTCATTATCCCATGCATAATCATCTGATGAATCTGCCGTTTGAACGAATCATTTGAATGAATGACTCAATGACTCACTCATTAAACGCTCACTACTGGCACCTACTGGCGTTTTAATTTAGTTGAAAAGTATAATTTCCACCATCATTTCTTGTTTGTATATTCAAAAATATTTAAAAGAATCTCATAATATTATTTAATGCAGTTGTATTTTTCAGTGTAAATGATTTAATTTGATAACGTATAGATAATCACATTATTATAATTGAATTTATAGATCAAATGTAAGAATTTGAAATAAAAGTATTAATGAGATTAGTGGGGAAATGTCCTCTATAAAGGTAAAAAAAGTGCCCTTGGATAAAATATTAAAAACACAGATTTGTATGTCATTTGTGTATATATATAAATAT